GGATTAAGGTCGGATGTTTGATTCGGTTCTGGGTGGTCCAATTCCCATTCCATTTGCCGCTCCAACTGGTGCTCAACTATGGGATATATATAGGGGGGAGGGTGGGGGGCAGCATCCAACAAACGAGGCTTATGCAAATCGCATTTCGTTTTTATTTCCGACGACTTATTTAAGTTGCATATTTTATCAAAGTGTAATGCCTGCATATTTTTACACCTGCCTGTGCAAATTATGCATGCAAAATCAACTGAGAATATGGGCGGCGGTGGTTGAAAGCGAGAGTGGGCGTGGCAATAGCGACTGCATTAGCTACCTTGAATGATCAAAGAGCTGGAAGAAGTCTTTTTGGTGTTTACTTTGCCCTTGGCTTTGACACTTGACTCCGGCTTGCTCCACTTGCTGTTATTGTTTGCTTTTTATTCCACTTCTGGGTGATTTGCTGTGCAAATGGAATAAGTGCCCTCGACTTGCCCACCACCTGCCACTTGAGAGTGGAATCACATCCTCGTGCTCCAATTGCACTGCCGGGCTGCAGGGGACGGAACGGCCACCGATTTCTTTTTTGTAGCCACCAGAATGGCATTAAACGGTCTAATGCTCTGCGCACGCCCAGCAATCAGCTCTATCCAATTAAATAAACAATTATCTGCACGGGCGGAGGCATTGGGTAGGGATTCACTTGCAAAACTAATCACATAATTACACGCACACACACTTTGTTGTGGCAAGCCGGCAAGCCGGCAAGTGGGCGCGTGTGTGTACCACTCGGCGTATGCGTAATGCGCACAAGGCACACGGCAAACGGCACACGGCAAACGGCACATTCAAATTCAAACACAAACAAATTAGGTCGAGCAGCCGCCCCTTGAATCCAAGCCGCAATGTCTACAACCGTCTCAATTCAGGACTATTAATGTGCCCCAAATCACTTTGATTGTGGGCGTGTGGGTATGTGTGCATGGCTCTGTCTGCTGTTGCTATTTAATTATTTAAACAATGGCCAAGACGGCGGCTGCACGGGGAGAAAAATATGGTCAAGATGTGCTCTAAATTATCAATAAAAGAGGGTTTTTTATATGCATCATGCTCCACTGATACAAATAGGAAAAAAAGACTTGAATTTCTCAATAAAACAGGAATAGCTTATTAAATATACTATAATTCTGATAATATAATTTTAAATAGCTCTGTCCCAACTATTTTGTAATAAATATCAATAAATTTAAATGTTTTGGTAATCGCAGAAATATTTGGTTTCTTTCATTTTATTTATTTCCCTTCTGCGATTTTAAAATAAACTTTTAAATTGTAAGAACTCAAAAAAGAATTTAAGTTCCTTAAATATAAAAGAAAGTTTAGAATCGTTCGTGCTAAAACAACATAAAAAAAAATTTTTTAATTTAAATAAAATAGGAATTTTAAATCTGCTGGCATTAAAAACAAAGTTATTATATTTTCTGCACTATGTTAATTTCTTAGAAAACTAAATATTCAAATTTTAAAAGCTTCTTCTTTTGAAACCCAAATGATTATCAACGAAGAATTTACAGAGTTAAAAAGAGTTACAAGTGAAATATATTAATTTGTTTATTTTTTTACCCATACTTTTTTCTTTTTTCAAGTGCAGCAATCCTTGTATTTTAATATGCTTGGAATCCTTGTGGAGCATGCAAAGGATATCTATACAATTAGAGCAATTCAGTACATCGAGCTTAGGACTCCTCCTTCGCTAATTTTGCAATTAATTTTGTTCGAAAATCCAATGCCTGTAACTCGGGGCATGCGTCCCATAAATTGCGCTCATGAAAAAAGGACATAATAGCCGTGTATGGCCCATATGGTTTGGTCGTCGATTTATGGCCGCCTTTTGGTCATGCATTTAATTTCCCAATCGCTTGGTTTGATTTTCCGTTTAGAGGGCCTCTGGGCCACCATCACCTTGGCCATAATCGAAGGGTCTTGGTCTTCCGTGGCTTAATGACTCCATTCGGGCGACAACCCATCTCCCGTTGACAAACGAAAACCAATTTTATTAGGGTCAGCCCAGATGGGCTGGAAGTTTATGCCGCAATCCCGGTCATGATTCAATCGCTTCGCTTTTGCAGGGCTCGGCCATCCTCATCTGTTTCGTCATCAGGGCCGAGAGCCAGCTGCGAGGACCCCCCTTCCTCAGCAGCAACGGGAGCAGCCAGAACAGCTCCCTGAAGCAGGCCAAGTTCAATACGAGCCGGAGCAGCCTGGACGAGAACTACTGCACCACCACGACGACGGCCAACGTGAATAGTCCGCTGAGCTGTGCGTTTTCCCTCTCGAATTTCCTCCTGTTTCGGCTTGTAACCCCCTTGTAATCCCCTTTTGCAGTCTACACCAACCACGACAAGGAGAAGGAGAACGAGTGCGGCGGTGTGTCCTTGTCAATGTCCAATGCAGCCGTGTCCTCTGCAGCAGCAGCAGCTGGATCCTTGGGCTCGTCAGTTGGCGGAGGAGGCGGTGCCGCGCCCCTGCAATCGAAGGTGGGCCTGGAGATGTCAGGAGCACCGGGCTCCGACGTTCCACTGCCGTTGACAATCATCTCGACGGCGCCGCGTTGCCAAGCGGGCGCAGATGGAGCGGCGGAGTCCTTCATGGGCGACCGCCAGAGTCTGTCCGTGGCCCCCTCGCCGGACACCCGCTGTTGCGCCATTTTGGGCGGCGGAACCGCCTACGATGCGTACACCATGGGCATGGGTATGGGCGTGGGCATGGGCATGGGAGTGGGCGTGGGTGTGGGAGGACTGACGGGAAGTCTGGGCAGAAGAACGCTGCATCAGCAGCCCACGCATTATCGCCAAGGACCGTGCGGCGAGTTTGTGGGCGTCGAGACGCTCGATATCCTGCAGGGCGTGGCAGCAGGTAAGTGCTTACACAAAATATATGGCGAAAATTATCAGAATTTTTAAATTTCTCACTATGCCCAAAATCAGTTATTCGACTTTTCTACCAAAAAAAAAAGATGATATATTAAACTTTTTGTGAAGAAATATTAAATTCATTTGCTCTTAATACTTGATAAGCTTCCTGATTCTTAACAAGGATAACAATATTTAAATAATGTAAAGTTAAATCATAATGAACTGTTTTTTAATACATTTAATAATTATAAGTCCTATTAGACATAAAGTTATAGTTGAAAAAGACAACAAATTTATAATAATAAAATAAATGAATATGTGACTTTTAATGAAATTTTGTATTCTTATATAATTTAAATAAATTTTGATTTTTTGACAAATTTTTCTTTTGAACGAAAAGTTCACGATAAATAATAATTGTTATTGCATCAAAAATATATGGTAAAAATTACAATTTTAATATCGTTTTCATTTTAATTTTGTAGTGGGGAGACGGATAAAAGCACATAAAAGTTTCTCAAAACCATTTACTCTGGCTAAATGGCGAGTGAAAATGCATTGCGCTTTTAGTTCCTAAGTTAAATTTTCTGTTGCAGCAAGAAAACTTTTAAGTAAGGGATTTAATTAATGTTACTCAGGAACTAAAAAAAAAAATACAATTTAATAAATATATATATTTTAATTTGATATGTTCGGCAAACCCTTTTTTCAAAATGAAGAAGGATGTATGCATTCACGTTCTAGCGTCTTATAACCAACTATTCCGCCTTCGTTCTCCTCCTTGCAGACAGCATTATTGGCATTCACACCAGTGCCATTATCCCCACGGCCACCAGCACTTCTCATTATGTCCCGCTGCAGCATAATCCCTACGTGGACTTTGTGCCCAGCTCGCTAATCCTGAGTATGGCGCCACCGCCGACCATAAGCGGCAACTTGAGTGGAGCGGCGATGCCGGCGATGTCAGCGATGTCTGCCATGTCCACCCAGACGCCCAAGACGCAGAAGCGGGTGACCATCCTGGAGCCCACGTCTCGCACGACCTTTGACCCCCTGCTGCCCACCATGGTGGCGGCTGTGGTCTCCACTTCGACGGCCACCAGCACGGCGACCACGGCGACCCCGGCCACGCCCACTCATACGCCCACACAGAGTGGCTGTGGGGCCAACGATGCCACGCTGGATCGCATCACCCTAGATCTGGACTACTTGCTGAACCGGGGGGCAGTGGATGCCCCAGATGGAGGCGGGGTGCCACCACCACCACTACCACTACCACCGCCCACCACTGATGGCAGCCAGCAAAAACAATAGCAATATGTGTAAGTTGGAAGAGCGATTCCGACACTGAGATGCATTTAAGAGGCTTCGTTTTTCTATCATACGATGTAAATATATGTAAATCAAATTGCCGAACTTGACTACAGTAGAAATCTCTGTGAATACTCATGTATGTATGCATCAAATATACTTCATAGGGTTAGCAATCCATTGAAGTCATCGTTTAACCCAATACTCTATCAAGTGAGTCCCAGTTTTGTTGTCGAACCTGCCAGATTTAATAGAACTTCCAGTTCAATAAATCCATGAAATGTTCAAAATTTATGTCTTTTAAAGTGATTTGAACATCAATCATACCTATAGTCATACATTTAGAATACAAATTGAACTTTATGTCACTGCATATGTAAACAAATTGAAAGAATTTAAACTAAAAATAACTTTTTAGCTAGATTTACAAAAACCTATTAAGGAAAACACAATGAAGATGAAAATTGAATGAGCGAGAGCACAGCAAGGTGTGAAAATGTTTTTGATTCCATTTAAAGTTTTCCTAGAATTAAAGCAAAATTAAGCCCCATTAAGTAACAAAGATAAAAACCTATAAAATACAATAATTGTAAAACTAATAAACATAACAGGACTATTTCTGGAACAAAACAAATTATACAGATATATATCTTTAAATAAACTCAAGACTCTTGTTAGAAAATCTATGAAAATAAGGGTTTTGATTTATTTTGTTTATGGAGCGGGACTACATTTTTAAATCTTCTTTTAATATTCGAATAAGGAGTTAAATGGTGTTGGCAGACAAAAAAAAAGACATTAATATTTCCCAGAGTTATATTTACGTTAGGAATAGCGACCATCTGTCAAAATGTTCCTATCAGGAAGAGTATATTGCATTTAAATACACAGAATGTGAATCTGATTGGGAAAACATATCCAGTTGACAAATCAGAAAAAATCCACATCCTTGGGAAGCCTATTTTTTTAATCAGCTTAACAAATTTTTACTTTTTTAGTAAATATAAATTTTACCTTACTTATTTTTATATTAGTTTAAATATTGCACAAACCACTTGTCCACTTTCCCTGCTTGTCCCAGTGAGCTTTAGAATTCCACCACATGACCCATTAGGTAGGTCACCTTCTCGCTGCGAATGGCAAAGAAGAATGGATGGTCGGCTCGGAAGAATTTCTGGCGGGAGGAATTGCTGATCACAATGGGCTTGTACTCTGGAAATGGCTAAGAGTGAGGTGCACAATTTTTGGGTATTACTAAAAACATAATACCTGCTGCAGGGCGTGGCAACGGGGGTCCGGATCCAGACTCGTTCAAGCTAATGCGCAGCTTTTGGAGAACATCGACCACGGGCAGGCTGCCAGAGGGATGCAGATGTTTGAAGTTGGCCGATGCCCGGAATATCTCCTCAAAGCCAAGCTGTTGGGCAAATTATTTCAGAGTAAAATGCGTTCAGAAAGCGTGCAATATTTGAGGTTTACTGACCTGCTTCAGGGGCTGCCGCAGACTGCACTCGCAATCGATGCAGAACTTGGGCAACAGTACCTGCACACCCTCCATCTGCATACGCTGCTGCAGTGCACCCAGGTCCAGGCCCCGCAGCTGCTCCTCCAGCTGCGGCAGACCGTGTCGCTGGTTGGGCAGGATGAGCAGCATGGACAGCTCCTCGGCGTGCTCGTAGGGCAGCTCAATGGCGCGCGCGTCCAGGTCCCGCAGCTCCGCATACTTCACAAACATGTCGTCGTCGAAGAGCATGGCCACCGATTTAACCTGGCCGCCGCTGTGGAACTCATACAGTCCCGTTCGGTAGGCACTGAAGGGCAGGAACCACTTGCTCTGCAGACTGGCCGCTAGCAGGAGCAGCGTCTTGGCTACTGGGTTGCTTTCCAGCTGGATCTGATCCCAGCTGCCGCCGCCAACATTGGCCAGGATCTGCTCGTTTATGTGGCGCCGCAGCTTTTCCGTCTGCTCCAGGTCAACACACTCGGCAGTGGCATGAAAATAGGTCTGAGCAATCTTCTGGAAGTCATCGGCAATGCCAGATTCGGATCCAGCTAGAGGCTGGAGCATCAATCGGTTCTGCAATTGCAGGCGGGTGTCTGGATCCGCTGTAATGTTCGCCAGTTCCGCGGCATAGAAGTTGGCCATCTTTGCGTTGCTGGGGAAGCGCTCCTTCAGTCGCAGCAGTTTCTGCAACTCCTCGGCAGTGGCACCATCCGATCCCAAAAACAGAAGTGAGAGGGTGGCTTCCACGAGCAGCGGCGATACGACCACATTCTGATCTGTGAAACTTGTGGCTATGTTGTGGTATATCCCAGCACCTATATGGGATTGATGGGGCTCGAAACTCGGCAAAGGATTGGAACTTTCACTCATTCTGTCCTTGTTGGTCCACTATTCTTTCAATAAAATTCTGTAAAAAAAAACAGAGTTAGATAGCACTAATAAAAATTGAAAAAAAAATTGTATCTCTAAATTACAAATTATTACATAATATAAACTACAATGCATTTTGAATTCCGTGATTTAATATTACCATATTTTAATAAGTGTTGAAAATATAAGATTTAAAATTGTTCATATTTTATTTAAATGCATTTTATTTTAAATTTTAAATTATTAAAATAAATTCATAAAAATAGTAAAAATATTTAAATAATTTAAATATTTTCATATTTAAAATAACTAAAAAACCACAATGGATTGGTGAAAATATTTGGATTTATTATATTTTGTTTTACCAGTGTAGTTTAAAATTTGGTAGCCAAAGTCTTAGTAAAGCATTAAAACAATAAATTGCTATCACAAAATACAAATCATATCTCTAGAACACGTAGGTATAAATATTTAGTTCGATTCAATGAATTTAAGCAAATGTACAGCGTAGTTTGTAGATTGATTCTCAATATTTGTTTACTTTTGTTGAAATTTAATGGCAATCGTTTTAGCATCCTCTTCAAGGGCAAACAATAATCCTTTTCCTCCATAATACATACATTTCTTTTTAATTTGAATTCGCTTTTTAATAAAGTCTTATTAATAACGGCGTGAATTTATTGCTTCCACATGGGTTGCTCTATCAAAAGCACTTGTTTAGCATAAAAACGCCCTTCGGCATAATGCAAAACACATGTGCCGACGTACAAAAGTAGACTTAGTGTCATAAAATGCCCAAAGTAAAACGAAAATATAGTTTTAAATAACAGCCAGCAGATATATTGAATCCTATTTAAATTCACCTTGGCCCGTGAAGTGCATTTTGTAATGAAAATGTAAATTGTCTTCCATTTCATTGGGCCAGAACCGAACGAGCACACACTCGCACACACTCGCCCACAGAACACAAAAGAAACGCCTTGAATAAATAAAGTGAACAAGAGAGCACACTAGGCCAAACTTGACACTATTTTCGGCAAGTAAACAAAGCGGAAACACCGAGGCGGAAAACTTTGTGACAGTGCTGCGGCTATATATTTGCGGCAAACTTTTAATTTCACGCGAAATTCGGCAGCAGCCTCTGTTGTTTAGCGAGCACCACCCTCCACACCCACTATATAGTTTCCCGATCCAGAGCTGCAGCTCTGCATGCCGATTTCTATGCGACGCGCACACTTGCGCGCTTAATTGCCACATCAACAAACAAAATGCGCGCCCACCCGAACTGGAAAATAAAAACGGAACGAACGAAAAACCGTTTTCCGTTTCAAAATCGCGAGAACCACGCTGCCTACACAGAAACCAAAATCTTTAAAAACAATAAACCAAAAATCTTCAAAAACATATATCATTTGTAGAGCTTATATGAATCTTTTTAAGGGTTTCTCAATACTTATACATTTAATACGCAAATGTAATGTCTTAAAAAAATCTTTAGATTTATAATAAAATAAATTCATAAAAATAGTAAAAATATTTAAATAATTTAAATATTTTCATATTTAAAATAACTAAAAAACCACAATGGATTGGTGAAAATATTTGGATTTATTATATTTTGTTTTACCAGTGTAGTTTAAAATTTGGTAGCCAAAGTCTTAGTAAAGCATTAAAACAATAAATTGCTATCACAAAATACAAATCATATCTCTAGAACACGTAGGTATAAATACTTACTTATACATTTAATACGCAAATGTAATGTCTTAAAAAAATCTTTAGATTTATAAATGTCAATCGTAGAATCTTTTGGCGTTAAAAACCTTATATTCTAAATCGGTTAATGTGATTACTGAATGAAAAATACGTTGTTTTGTTAGCCACAGATAACTTGTTTAACTTTTAAGTACATTTCAACATTTAGTGTTTGTTTTGTGATGCACTTTTAATCAAAACCGAAAAAAAATATATTTGAATAGTACGATTAGATATCAGTTTTAAGTAAAAAAAAAATTTTTTTTGTGTACCTATATACCACACCATTGTCGCTATAAAGTAGCGCTGCTCTAGTGCTAGATGTTATTGTTTATTTTTGGTGTGCCAATTTTTTGTTTTACTCAACGAAATTAACTACATCGTGAGTTTGTCAAAAGTGTTTCAGTTTTGTTTTGTAGGGAGACTGTTTTTTTATTTTTTATTTTTAAAACGCTACATTGCAGTAAATGGATAATAACCGAGTGGCATATGGTGAATCCTCGCCAGATTTTCAATGAGGCGTTCGAGTATGAGGTCACAGAATTGTTTTCAAAGTGGCATCATCAGCAACAATAGTTTGTTGTGAAAATGTCGGGGAATATAAGCAAATTGTTCATCATAAGAAGGTATTTGTTAGATTTACAGCTCAGTTCTTATCACTTTCTTCACTCAATTACCTTTGGCTGAATTCGTAAGATATTTTAACGACGAAATATAGATCGGGCAGCAATTATATAAATTAGTTGCCTTTAGAGATTCACGCCCGCACGCAGCTTCGGCCAAAATTCAACTAAAACGCTTCTGCTCGGAAATAATAAAATAGCACAAAAAAGAACCAATTAAATTCGCCCGCCTCATCGGTGACGACACTTGAACAACGCGGGGGCAAAAGCTCCGTCCGGCCAATGCTTCCACGGCTCGGTTCGAATTTTCGGCAACTACTTTTCCGATGCTGAATTTTTAATCTATTTTTATAATTTGTTTGCCGTCAATTTACACAGACGATTCGGCGAACGGACGCTGCATCTGATGGGAATAGGAACTTGGATGTGAATGTGGATGAGGTTGATGGACGACGCTCTACTGGTATTGTTTTTTTTAACGCTAAATCGCTAATGCCGCTCTGCGAGTCATTTTGATTGAGTTGTTTGTGGGACTCGTTCTGTGCCAGTAGTTGTTGCTTGATCAGTTTATCTAATCTGGAATATTTTAGGTCGCTGTATGTTACGATGCTGTGCACAAATCTGCACAAATGCGCGTAGCTACACAAGATAGACCATAATCTTTTGATCCGCTTACTGTACGCCAGCGATTTAAAATGCACAAAAAACTTGTACGGACCGCACAACTTTTTTTCCAATAGGATAGTCCCTAAAGGCGCTTGGCAAGTAGGGATAACAATTAAAATTCGATTGACTTAATCGGAATATAAATTTCAACGCCGCTAGGCTTACAACAAAAGAATTTATTTTGAAAGGACCAAAACTGTGCTACACTTGGCGAATAATTTAAATTATAGAATACTTTTTAGATGTTAAATGCAGAATGCATACTTTGCCCAGAGACGGTAGTGCATTACAAAATTTAACAATTTATTTCAGCGAATAGGCAAGTCTGAATGTTTAAATTAACAAACTAAAGACATTATTAATCTTTCAAACAATTCATTATTTATTGATAACTTGAATATAATCATAGGAATCGGGGATGAGGACACTGGTGTGAAGTGGATGATTAGTTGTTGTAATGCTTGCGAGAAAGTGGAGGATTAAAACCATTTTTTGTATACATAAATAAATACTAAACAGCCTAAAATATAACCGAAATGAGCTCGTTTCCAAGTAAAAAAAAAGACCAAGCACGCGCATACAGACTGATAGACGCTCCCCGCAGACGGTGCTGGGCAGCAACCAGGATGATCTTAGCCAGCACAGCTGCACCAGAGATCCATGCTGCCAGGCAACGCCGAAACAAAGTTGTATAGTTGTAATGTAAAAATGGTTCATACGAGTACGAGTGGCGGGTTACTAGCTGTGTTTTGCTAACCCGATAAATGATTTGAGGCGATTTGTGTGTAATATCTAAGCCTATCTTTGCATGCATGCCTCCAAGAGTTTGGGAATGTTCTGATGTAATGTGTACGTTTGACAATGGCATAGCTTGTGGCAAAAAAAAAGGAAAAACGTGTGAGCGCGGTCGAAGGTGTTAACGAAACGTGTGAGAGGCGTATGGATTTCTGGTGTGTTATTAGATTAGCCTAAAACGTGTAGCCACCCTCTGGAGCCTTGGGCTGGGTGGCGTTGAACTCGAGGGCCCCGTTGACCTCCTGCGGTGCCAACTCTTGCTCGGCCTCGTCGTCGGCGTTGCTGAAGTAAGTGTCGATAATGGCGTAGGCCTTTTTGTAGACCTCCTCGTTTTCATGCTGCTGCAAGGTCTCCAGCTTGTCCAGACCGCCCATCTCCTCGACCATCAGGCACAGGTTTTCAGTGCCACCGAGTTTCTCAGCCAGAGCAAACAGATTGGATAAGCCCGTCTGCACCACCTTGATGGTACGCGGATCCTTTGCGTCCAGAAGATCAATGAACGGCTTCAAGATTTTGTACTTCTCGATTAGATCTACGATCTGCTCGGGCGTGCCCGACGTCGTGGTGTTGGTCACTGCCCAGGCAGCCTCTTTCTGGGCCTTGAAGTCTCCTTTCTCAAGCACGTTGCGCAGCTGCTGGAAGATACCGGCCTGGATGACCGCCTGGATCTGCTTTTGGTTACCTGCCGTGATGTTGCTGACAGTCCATGCAGCCTCCTTGACAATGTTGCTCTTGTTGTGCTGCAGAAGGAGTCCTAGCCTGGGCAATCCTCCAGCTGCAATAACCACGTCAGTCTAAAAGATAAAATTATATTAGAAGACAATTTCATCATAAATGTTCATTGAAATTCTATGTCGGTTGTCAAATAAAATTCAATACGTTTTTGAATAAAAATACAACATACAAAATACACCAAATACAAACAACATCCTAACAAATTCCACCTTAATTTTTATGTATTTTTAGTAGGCATTTGGTCGAAAGAGATTTTAATTTTTTAACCAAATAAAGCAGTGCACCATTTTTGCATAAATAAAGTGTGGAATTTTCATATCAACAAGAAAATGTGGAAAATAGATTTAATTGCATCCGTAGAGCGTGCAATTAATTTACCTTTATGTTTGATTTTAATTTGATTTTTGCCAATTTAATATTTAAACTTTTTATGCAAAAAGCGATCATTGGTTGACCTACCTGTTGATCTGTTCCGGTTACAATGTTGCCAACGCTGCGCAAGGCTGGCACAATGATGCTCGGCTCGTCCATTTGCAAGAGTTTGACCAGACGCGGCACTGCGTCCGAGTCCACCACAGCCTGGATCTTGCTGTTATCGTCGTCCGTGACGTAGGACAGTGCCCAGCAGGCGTCGGCCAACACTTGGATATCCTGGCTGAGCAGGAGCTGCGACAAGACGGGCAGCAGGCGCTTCACCTGCTCAAAGGGCGGCGAGGGATTCTTGTTCCTGCACAGATTCGACATCAGCCAGACGATGTTGCGCAAAAAAGAGAGTGGCGTCTCGTTGTTGATCAGTGGCAGGATGCCATCGATCACGTTGTGGTGAATGACAATGTCGCGGGCGGCGGCACCGTCGCCGGCAATGTTGCCCAGGGCCCAAACAGCCTGCTCAGCCAGGTTGATGGACTTGGACTGCAAAAGGGCCACGAAGTGCGGCACGGCATTCTGTTCAATGACACAGCGCGTCTGATCCGAGGTGCCAGAGGCGATGTTGGTCAGAGCCCAGGCGGCCTCGAACTGCAGCATAGAGCTGGAGGATTCAGCGGATTCAGTACTGCTTTTATGGGTGTTCAATTGTCAATACTCACTTGGTTGTGTTCTGCAGGAAGCGTATGCAAATGGGCACGATGCCATGGCCAATCATTAGGTCGATGGGAGGATTGCGCTCACGGCTGAGCATCTTCCGGGCAGACTGCATGCCCAGGAACTGGCGCTCCTGATCCTCGCTGTTCATGGCCGCCACTATTTCGTCCACGGACAGCTGCACCGGCGACTGGCCATTCAGTTCCTTGAGCGGCGAAGTTAGGTCCTCATCGTTGATGTTGCGCCGCTTAAACATTTGGTCCTCCTTCTTGGACTTGCGCAGCTCGATGGTCACCTCATGGCGGCGCATGCGCGAGTCCTACGAGAAAGTGAGGTTAGTTACGAACGGAGATCTGCCGGAATCTGGATTTATTACCTGCGTGTTGATGGTATTGGACTTGTAGGAGCCCTGACGCGAGTTCGAATCCGCCTTACTCATTTTGTGGCAGTTATTGTTTGGTTTTAGTTTATGTGTGGCTGCTGAAAAACGAAATGTTCAAAAGTAAAGAAGTTAAATGAAGGGCTGCTTGTGATTGCTTCCCCTCTTCTTGTTCTCCTTCGCCGTTTCGAGACCGGCTTTTAAAAGGGCGCACCAAGGGCGTAGCCAGAACTTGGAACAGAGGGTCCAGGTTTTCAATCAACAAGTTTTATTAATAAGAGCTTTTCTTTTATATGCAAATTTTAATTTTAACAACTATTTGGAAAAACATTTTTGATGTCTTTGGCAGGAGAGGGGAGGTCAAACTTGCCAAAACCCCTGCAAATAATTTGCTACGCCCCTGGCTAGCAACAACAAAGCAACAGCTGCGGCAGCCGCCATTTGCAGCATCGCGGAAGGAGAGGCAAAGACGAAGATGTAATGAAGGAGAACAGGAAGAGGTGGTTATAGAAGAAAGGAATGAAGGAACCGCAGGAGAAACCGCGCAAAGGACAAAAGAACATGCACAACACACTTACCTTCGAGTCCTCTGAATGCGAATGCTGGCTTTTTGGCTTGGCTAAAATCACTTCACAGAAAATTTACACAATTTTGATCATTCCTCTAGGAAAAATGGGATTTTGTTGTGCGTGTTAACACGCTGAAAGTGCCGGTGTAACTGTGCTGTGAAACACGTTGACAAACTCGAAATCAATGCGAAATTGATGTCAATGCTTGCTGTGCCGGCCGGATTTACCGTTTAGTTTGAAAAACTAGAGGTGGATCGACGCCAACTTCGATGTCATCGATGTTTTAAAAACATTCATCGATGTTTGGCGGGGTCTTCCATGTGCAGAAGCACTGCTGATCATCGTTTAACTAACATTTATGTTAAATTTCGCACATCTCTAATTAATTCAGATGATAAATCTGAAAGTTATCCAAGTTCGCAATTCTCAAATTTAAGTTTATGCACCAATAAGTAAACAATTTAAATTTTAAGTAATTTTTTAACCTGTTAGTCGAAAATCGTACTCGGCCAAACATAGCGGCATGTTTTGTAAAAATTGGAACTAGTTCTTCTATAAAAAGTCCTAATCGGCAGCTACAGAAATACTACTTTCGGGAAAACGCGTTCAAAGGTAAATGACAATTAATAACTTGATAAAAACAGGTACCTTACATATCGATTAAAATAATGAATATAAAATAAATCGAAAACCAAAAGTAACTCTGCGATCAACGGTCGTAGTGTTGATCGTCGCCGACGGCGGGCGCTGCCAATTGCCATTCCGCAAATTTCTTGTGGAACGTGGAACTCGTTTCGATGACGCGCATTTAAACCAAATTCAGCTGTTCAGCCTTTGGCTGAATCTGCAAAGCAGGCGGGTGAATTTAAATTGAGTTGCTCAAAAATAAAAGGAAGTAATTATTTTACTGTCCCACTATTCAAAAGGACAAGAATTAAAACAGTTAAGATTTAATATACGTTTCTATATAATTGGGTTAAAGAGCTACGTAAGAATTTTTAAAAATTGTTCAGCATAATTTGATATGAAGCATAACCAATGTTTTAATGTTTAATAAGTTTAACCGCGAGCAACATGTCCTTGCATATAAAAGTAAATCAACTTTTAATGTGATGAAAAACTAACTTATTTTTTCATATTGGATTTTGCAGTGTTTTTTCTTCAGGAATTGTTTTTTTGTTGAATTGGTACCATTTAATCTGTCGTTTATTAATAATAATGTCATAAATGCAAACAAATTCCTGCTTAATGCTCTTTTTAATCTGTTTTATTTATGTTCGAAATAAAAAAGCATTTTTTACAGGTTATTGCTCCCAATCGATTTAGCTTCAACGCTTCTTTTTTATGCTCACATTTGTTGTTCGTTTGCAGCCTACTGTGAGGAGTAAACTGTTTAAATATTATATTAGTACATTTTATCGCGCACAATTAAAATTTTGAGCTATCAGTTTATCGAATGAATTTATTATAGCATCGTTTACTAAGCTCGGCTTTCTATTAAATGTTTTTAAATGTGGTTATTAAGCTGCCGAAATCGTTTGAATATATCCTAAAGCAGGCAGAAAACAAAATTCCTTGATTTAAGGAAAAATTCATAAACATGGCCCAAAAAATTAGCCTCGCTTTATCATTGTATTCAAGAAAAAATACATCAATAATTACCTAAGGACATATGGTCTGTTACATGGTATTAGGGAATTTTTTAAGTCATTTTTTTTTTAATTTTTATGGCAGGCTTAACTTTAAGGTCATGTTTAATCTATTATTAAATTGAGGAATTTGTTTTTAAATCAAGGAATCTTTTTTCTGGTTGTATTTATGGTCAATGACCATTGGTCATTTATAGAATTTAGTGAATATATTTTAGTGTAAACATTTTTGTTCTAATTCGCACCAAAAAAGTATTGGTCCATTACGAACGATATTGGCAAACTTGCTTTACTTGTTGTTTGGAAATATGTGCCTGCTAAAGAAATTTAAAAAATAAATCAGCAAGTTTGTATATATATATTCTCAAATTTTGTATTTATTTTCGCATTTATTTCAACAATATTTCCTGTCATGTTCCAATCTAGGCGGTCTTTTTGTTCTCCTCCGTAGCCGGAGCTGCGGTGGTGGAGGTGGTGCTGCTGTTGGCTTCCGTGACAGAACGGGCCTCCACCACATCGGAGTCATCGCTATCGGGAGCTGGAGAAGATTCGCCCGACTGAGAGAAAGGTGGGAACTGCTGATCCTGGGGATAGGTCTGCTGCTGTTGCTGCTGCTGCTGCTGCTGCTCCTCGTTGTAGTCGATGGGCGTGGGCTCCAGCTCCGGCTGAGTGGCCACAGGAGCCTCAACAACCTCACCCTGCTGCTCGGCGACCTGCTGCACTGGCTGCACTTGCTGGGGGGCAAACACCTGCTGGTGGGGGTAGTAAATGGGGGCGGGCAGAGAGCTCACTGGAGCGGGCACATGGACGGGCACATGTGCTGGGGCAGCCACTGAAACCACGGGAGCAGCCACAGCACGGGCGGCCACTACTGGCTCACGCTGAACCACCGCATTGAAGCCGTTGATATCGTCGGCTGTGTAGGTCACAGTGCGCTTGTAGCCATCGGCATCCAGGACGGAGTAGGAGCCCACCACATTGCCTCCGTCACGAGTCTCCACCTGGCTCTTGATGTCCCCGGTGATGCTGTCATGGACGCCGTAGGAGAAGTCGTAGCGTGGCGAGGACTCCAGCTCCACCTGCTTAAGCACAGGAGCAGCAACCACGGGAGCAGTAGCCACGGGAGCAGTAGCCACGGGAGCAGCAACCACAGGAGCAGCAACCACGGGAGCAGTAGCCACGGTCCTCACCACTGGAGATGCCACGGGCAGGGAAATGGGGGCCGTCACCGTCTTGACAACTGGAGCAGGCAGGGCATAGGACCTAGTGTAGACAGGAGCAGCTGGCACCACCGTCTTGGCAAAAACAGGAGCCGCCTGGTGATAGACAGCAGGCTGGGCCACCGGAGCGGAGTGGTAGACTGCAGCCGGAGCCTGGTAGGTGGCATATCCCGGGTGGAAGCCGGCATAGGTGGCCGCGAATCCTGCGCGACAGGATCCAGCGATGGCCAGGAGGGAGAATACAATCAGGTTCTGCAATAGAAATAGGTGGATAAGAATATGCTAATAAAATGTATTGCGTATTTTGCACCGCTCATTTCATTCCCCATTTTATATATGCAGCTGCGGTCAAAATGGGGAAATGTAAAGTGCTCAAAAGCATAGCTGTAAAAGCATACGATAAATTTTCTTTTAATTTATTGAAAAGCTTATTTTTCTATTAAGGAAATGCAGCTTAAAACCCTTTTAACGTTGTTTTATTTTTTAAGGAAACTGAAAAGAATTGATATTTCCTTTAAGTTTTTATCATTATACTGCAGTAAAGGACTATTAAAGAATATAATAAAATAACTGACTGTAAGTTTGGATATAATCTTTAAACTATTTTTGATTGATATTTCCATATGCTTAAAATTTCCTTGCAAATTTGTATTTATCACTTGAACAACATATTAATTTGGTTTAAGTTTTAAAGAGTTAAATACTTTGTTTCCTAAATAAATAAAGCAATTACCCTAATTATTGCGAGCACTTAAAAAACCTTTAAATTTAAGTTTAAATTATGTTTTTATACCCTTGAAGAGGGTGTTATAATTTTAGTCAGATGTTTGCAACACAGTGAAGGAGACCCTATGAAGTATATATATTCTTGATCAGTTTCACAAGGAGAATTGTCTTCCTGTTGCAAGTAGTATATATGTCGGAACGAGCCGAATCGGACGACTATAGCATATAGGAACGATCGAATAATTTAGCTAAATATCAACATAGCCTCAATGTTTTTAGAAATATACGCATATAAATCGAAATTTAGATGTTTTAAGGAATATTTCATTTATGCAATAGCTGCAAGTGTATATAAATTTTGGCTTGCCTTTATTGTTCTTGTGTATTTATTTATTAATCAAATGAAATTGATCTAAATGAGATTTAATATTTTGTTAGGAACAATATTGATGTGATTGTTGTTATTAGTTATGTGATAATGCAAATCAAAACAAATGGATTCATGCATATTATAATTGTTTCGTCCGCATATTTTTGGCAGTAAAAAATTAAAATTGCTTTTATTGGAGCTGCTCAAATATGAATTATTATGCAAACCTCTATGCTATCTATTTTTAATAGGCAAGGATTGATATGAACATTTGATGGAAATTCAAACTAAACCACTTTTTTCACAACTGCATCTGCATTTAGTTCGATTCCCACTTTATTGAACTTACTTTGCCTGCCATTGTCAAAGTGGAATCACTTCCTTTGGACTGGGATTGCTCGAGGATGAACTGGCACGTGCCGCACAGGAAGCTCTGACTGCGATTGGGGGACTAAGACGAGACGACTGAGTATCCGCTCGACTCTCGGACTCCTAAACTCTTGGACTCTTGGAACGACGCCGACTTAATGATGTCGACTACTCCCGGCGCACGTCACTTTATATGGGGCGACAGATCAGAATAAGCCCCAAAGAAGTGGCGCCCTGAAAAAGCCGAAATAGCCAAAGAGCAAACCGGTAACAAGTACAAAAGTGCGAGTATCTTGGCTGACAATTTGACAATTGCGGACCAAACTGGTTTCGGGTAATTTGTCTTTTGTCCACACTTTTGGTATTCGTTTCAGTATCGAATTCAGTTTCGTTTTCTGCTCCATTTTCGATGTCAAGTTCAGCAGCGAAGTTGGCGCTTCCTTGTAGGCCTACTGTCGGTCGGTAATTAATTGCGATTTGAGCGCTGCTCAATTAACTTTTCAATTGTCAGCTCGGCGGCACCTTGCAGCGCACCTTTCCTTGGAAGCACATTACCTCACAACTGGAGTTCGGCACTTGACAGTCATCTTGTTTTTCTTGGCTACATGCGCGACCCAATGGAGCGCGAAATTTGCTGCCAACGGATTGTCACCTCAATCCCCTCCAGAAAATTAGGTGACTTGTCAGCACCTCTGGGCCCCCCAAAACTCAACCTTTTGGCATGGGGCGTTTGTATGTCAGCGGCGTTTGCCTCATTGGCTGCATGATTTTCAGTTTTTCGGGTATTTATCACTTGTAGAAAATTTATTACTGCTCCACTTGGTGTGTTTACCTTATGTCCCCACATGCAGGCATTGGCACAGTTTCAGTTTCACATTGATTCGCACTTGGAATTTGCGGAACAAAAACACAAGCCAGGCAATTGCCAATTGCCAAATCGGATTACTAATTGCATACTCTATTTTTGGTTTTTGGGGTATCGAGAGCACTGGCAACCAGGAACAAGCCGCTCATTGGGTCACAGAAAATGGTTATAAATTAATAATACCCAAGAACCGAAGGTTGCCCCAAAAGACTTTTCCTAGAAATGACCCAAAAAATTTGTCAACTCATTTGAGCGGCTCGAATCGATGTAATTAAGCGGCTTCAAGGAACCCGCCGGCCCTTAATGGGCTCAGTACTCGAGTGCTCAGTACCCACCGTCTCCAGTTGACTGTAACCGAGAGACCGTCGAGAGATCGCCGTTCAATGACTCCCCGCCGGAGTGAAACGAAACCGAAAGTGCGTGGAGTGTCCATGAGGTTGCTGTGGGCCATAAACATCCGATTACAGCGTCCAAACACGTAGCCCAAAGCCATCAAGATGCGTAGGCAGACAAGAGACACATATCGGGCCACAGATATAGGCACAGACACAGACACACGTTGGGGGGCATGTGCATATATCACACGCTTGAACTTGAAAAGTCTGCCAGCAGGAGAAGGGCACTCTGGGGGCGAACAGAAACCCCCATCACACCAGAAAGTGCCCCAGGACACGCCCCAGAAGGGCTTAGGATTCGATTGAGTGAATCCCGTATACAAATGTGCTAAAAGGGATGAACGAGAAAGAAGTACTGGGGTATCGAAGTTGTTAGGGAGGTTTTTCTATCACTTTTTGATCCTTTATTTTACTTATTTACTTTTCCTTCAAAAATTCGTTGCCTACCTTCGGGGCCAAATGTTTCCGTATCTTTGCCCAAAATCTGATTATAGTTAGCTTTATCAACAAATAGCACTCCTATAACATGAACTTAAATTTGAAATGTACAAAGTAAGAAAACAATTTATTTTAAAAAAATGTTAATCTCAGTTTCATGATAATGAAAATAAACCAAATTATAACATAAGTTAATAAAAAATAAACTTTCTAGTAAAGCATAAAAAGGATATTTTAAGGTAGGCTAATGATGAAGTGAGTAATTTAATAAATGTAAAACCAAATTATAGCACAAGTTATTAAAACAAAAAAAAAATATTTTTAATACAATTTTGTTTGACTTTTAGGAATGGTAACTTCTTAAATTATTTTTATATGACATTCATGATAAATTAAGAAAGCTATGTATATGTGAAACCGAATTAAAACATCAGTTGTTAAAATATCAATACCCCAGTAAAGCATAAAAAACCTTATATTTTAAATAAAGTTAATGGTGAAGTAAGTATTGAATAAGTGAAACCAAATTATACCATCAGTTCTTTAAAAAGGAATTTCTAATATTTTTAAATAGTTTCATGCAACATTAAATACAATTTTGTCGGCTTTCAAGAAAATTAACATTTTAACATTGTTTTGTATGACATTAATATATTTTTTTTTATTTTTGAAACCCTTTTTTTCCGTGCAGTGATACCTATACCCGTTATACTTTTTAATTAATTTCGACTTGAGTGTCGGAGGGTTAATGTTAATAGTCAACTCTCTTCGCAACGACCTTCTAATTGAAAAGCCACCGCGAAAGGCGGAAATTGCACATCAATGCCAGGTGGCGAGGATGAAAACAGTGGGGATGGTGGGTCAGAATCAGGATCATTATCAGGAACTGGGGCTTTCAAAACACTTGCCTAACGGCGGGGCAATTAAAATCCAATGTGTGGCTGGCCAGGATGTAAGGGGATGCTTTAAGCCCGACACTTGACATTCGACAAATACTTAACACTATTTGCCCGACTTAATAAAACCGCCTTCGTTGACTTTGTCACCGCAAAAAGGGATAAGGGATGAGGGATGCGGGGAAGGAGAAGGGGAAGGGGTGGGGGAAAGGAGGTGCTTTGGGTGGAAACGGGCACGGCAATGATTGATTGCACGCTAAAGCCGGGGAGCATCACATCATTTCCTTTTTACACTCGACAGGAAATGCATTTTTAGTTGGCGCTGGCGAAATGAGCATCGGTGTGTGCTGCCCGGAAAACGGAGACGGAATGTAGCATGGGATGGGATGAGCTGGGATGGGATGGGATGGCATAGGATATGGCGGAGGAAACGGAAGGTGTACGTATGCAAAACGAAATCACAGCTAGTGGGAAAATGGGGAGGACTTGAAAACAGACAAATGCAAATGCAAAAGTCGAAGCTGGCGCTGAAACTCAAGCTGAGCCGTAGCACTCCATGGCCATGGAGTTTTCACAGACAATTTACACAAGAATCACACAAATACGAGTACGTAAACATTTTGTGCGAGTCTGAGCTTGGTCATTGAGCAAACCGTTCGCTCGGAAAGCCCGTCCAGGTGCAAACGTTTTCCCACCCGTCTTTAAGCTCGCAAAATGCGAACTCTTTGCCAAAGAGAAAAAAATTGTCCTTTTAATTTTGTAATAACTTTGTTCAGCTGGCCTCAACAGTGTGACAAAAAAGCAATTTTATTTTCGATAATTGCGGAAAAACTTACAACATTTAAAGCTACAAACTCCTTTAATTATCCAAACTATAATATATTTCCAGCACTTAATAATTTTTTTATTAAAGTGTAACACCGTGTGTATATTATCAAATCTGCAATATTTGTTAGCAATTAATAACAAAGACAAGTATTTTATTATAAGCAAATATTAATTTTATTAAAAAGCTTCATTTAATAGTTAGCTTTTCAAAATCTAAAAAAGTGGCTTCATGACCATTATGAATAAAAAGAATAATTTAACAAAGCGTAAATGACTGTGATTAACTTCCCGCAAATATATTATTAGGATATGTTAACTACAGTCGATGAATTATTTTCAATAGTACAATTAAACAGGAATTTCATCCATAATGTAAGCCAATTTAGCGTTAATATTTGCGTTTGGCTATCGATCAACATTAGAGAACCCCGAGCGTATAATCACCTTCCGCATTTTGTGAATAGAGTACACACATGGCACACCGGGCGGATACGTAATTGCCGGCTGTCCAACACGGCGGATAAGACAAACGACCCGGAGCAAATCGCTGGCGACCACGCCCATTCCCCCGCCGCTGCCCCCAGCCATTAACTTTGACCACGCCTTTGTTTGACGCCAAGATGCCGACACTGACAACAAATGTCGCCCCAGCCCCATTAATCCATCAAAATTGGCGTTGAAGTCAAAATCAAAATCAAAATATGCGCCAGAGGCCGCGGAAGGCGTGTTTATGTGGGTAGATGGAACGGGGGCGTGGTGCAGGGGGTTCTGACTAAATCCGCAACAACAGGAAGTTGAAGTATGGACTGGAAATACCAGAAAATTCGCACTATTTGTAGTGACATTCTGCTCGAAATTGCGCGAAAGTTTTCCCAGGCAATTTACCCCAGCTGCGTCTCAGGCATCCAGTATTGATGCAAATTCCGGATTCCCTTTAAGTCGCAGTCCTGTCTAATCCTAAATTTGATTGCTTCGGGGACCAAGCGAACCCCTTTGCAGTCATTCACTCAATCTCCAATCGACAAGGCGACCGCAATTTTCAGCGGGTGCGCAAATAAAGAAATTAATCAATTTAACGATACGATTAATGGCGATTCCGGGGCAGTGGCATAGCCGGAATAATGTTATAGGGTGAGAGGAAATTATATTCCATATAAAATATAATTTAATAATTTTTATAATTTAATAAAAATTCTTATTTATTTTCTATCAAGTGTATTTTAATCGATTTATTTAAAAATAGTAAAAGTCAAAAAGACTTGAACAGAATATGTATTTTAAATCAGATTCTTATCGTTATTAAGTTTTAATGCAATTTTTTGGTAAATTCTTACCAAATGTAACAAGCATTAAGACCTCGATACTATAATTTTATTTTTTATTTATAATTTTTAAATGATTTTTACAACATTAAACCTTTTTTAATTAATACTTCATATTATTGTTAACAGGATATGTATTTAAATTCATAGTAAAAGGTGGACTTTATATAAGAGTTCCTGTTTGAAAACAATGTCAAAAATTAGTCCTTACTTAAGGGGTACATTTATTGTTATTAACCCCTCGCTACGTCCATGAAAAGGAGTAGATTTCATCGGGCCGAGTGCCGACAACTGACGTGGCATTTGTCTGGCTCGAGGCAAAAAAGTGACTCGAGTCTGTCGCACGCTCTTCGGTGATTTATTTCCATTGATTTTTTACCCGCCCCCAGCTTCTCCCCCTCGATTTCGCTGGCCGACCGAGCTTAGAG